AGTGTTCCAATTTTCCCACATCTTCTCCAACATTTATCATTTTCCTGTTTTGTCTTGTTGGCCAATCTGATAGGTGTGATGTGCCTCAGAGTTGTTTTGATTTGCATTTCTCTAATCAATAGTGACTTAGAGCATTTTTCCATATGACTATAGATGGCTTTAATTTCTTCATCTGAGAACTGCCTGTTCATATCCTTTAACCATTTATCAATTGGGGAATGGCTTGTATTCTTAAAAATTTGACTTAATTCTCTATATATTTTAGAAATAAGGCCCTTATCTGAGAGACTGGTTGCAAAAATTCTTTCCCAGTTTTCTACCTTCCTTCTAATCTTAGTTGCATTGGCTTTGTTTGTGCAAAAACTTTTCAATTTAATGTAATCAAAATTATCCATTTTGCTTTTCTTAATGTTCTCTATCTCTTGTTTGGTCATGAATTCTTCTCCTCTCCATAGATTTGATAGGTAAACTATTCCTTGCTCTCCCGGTTTGCTTACAGTATCAGCATTTATATTCAAAGGGTTGTTTTAAGTCACTTAGTACAACTTCCATACTTTACAGAAGAAGGCAGGTGAGACTCAATGAAGTTAAGTGACCTGCCCAAGAACACAGATAACTGACAAAGCCAGAATAAGAGGCTCTTGTCCTATGATTCTAAATCAAGTATTTGCCACTGCATCATGCCGATTCTTATGTATTTCAGTTTCCCAATTGTATGCTTTTTTTTAGAGTTGCACCAGCAAACTAGCAACATTTTAATCATTAAACAAAAGTTATCATAACATTACCATTTGTTCACCTCAAAAAAAGATTTCGTATAGAGACCTATAGCTCAAATGTCCTATAAGACCTTGGCTTTATAAACTACGGGGTACTATTACTTGGTTGTGTTTTCTCTTTCAATTTGGGGTGGAATTTACTCCAACATTACTAGTTGTTGAGTGGGATTTATGACTTTAGGAAGCGATGGAGAAGATGAGATCTGACATCATGTTCCAATCCAAAATTCTGCAATTAACCTTCTTTCTGTAGCTTAAACACTCTGCACTATCTTTTAAAAATCTGTGGAGGTGCTAAAGTCAAAAAAAATGATAATAACAATTAGATAAAATAGAATTGTTCAGACACATCACCAGTAATGAGTCTACCACAACTATGTCTAGGATGGAAAGAAGGTAGCAAAAGTGTTGCTTTTTTTTTTAGTTTGTTTTGCTTTGTTTGGGGGAGGAAGCTAGTCAATAGGACAAAAAGAATGATATTTATACTTTTTATACCTCTGGCATTTGGCTTTGGAAGCAGATAGGGTTAGTGGAGATAATACGAAGAGGCATGGAAACTGCTACCAGAGCTAGAGAAAAATAAATAAAGTTCTGGCAGTTGCCATTATTGCCATGTATCTAAAGGAGGAACTGGGAGTGAGGTAAAAGGTGGTATTGGGGAAGCCAGCACAGAAGAGAGACCTTCTGACCTTGAATCAGAAGATGCTAGGTATTATGAATTCTGATCAACTAGACAGGTCAGGAAAATAACTTTCTCCTTTTTGGTTCATGATTTTAAAACATGCAGTTCATACCCATGGCATCCATTGTTTTATAGAAATAGTGGGCATGTATGATGTGGATGGTTTCCCCTCTTCACCCAAAAATCTAGGAGGGAAATGGGCAAAGAAAAAGGAAAAGGGGATGAGTAAAGGCAACGTTAGCCACACAAGAGTGTTTGGTCTAGCTTTCTTTTTACTTTATTCTATGAATATACCATGCTAAATCTCTGAAAACTATGAATGCAATTGGAAATTATATGAGAAAATGTAATTCATCACAGGGCTTAGGCTTATAGCTAACTATAACGAGCAGATTTTGTATTTTAATATTTTGAACAAGATTCCATATCATCTCCTGGGTTAAATCAGGACCTTGACAAGGAGAGATAAGTCAAACATGTTTTTATGCTATTGTGGCTCCAGTGGATGGACAATAAAGGGTTTTCTGTTCTCCCTGTGGACACTGGAGAGCCTACTCATTACATGAATTAGAGTGTAGACAAAGCCTGGGCTAGTAGTTGAAGTACAATGCCATTTGTTGGATAAATCAGTTGTTACACTCAGCTAACTAAACTCCCTTGGTACATAATTAATACAGTTACAGGCTATAGTCACTTAAGCTTAAAGAAAATAGTACTCACACCAAGCACTGTCATTCTGATCTTTATTTAGCAAACACAGCTTCTGTAGGTTGAAATGAATCAGGTTGTACACAACTAGGTATTACTATTTTTCAAATATATGTATATGGTATAGGAATAAATAAAATAGAAATTTATTTAAAAGCAAAAAAGAAAAAAAATAGCACTCAAACCACATAATTGAAGTGTCTTAGATAGAGAACCACGTCATTCTTCTAAAAGTCATTCCAGTTCAAACAACTGTTTTCCTCTGATTTATTTCTTCTTGTGTGTGGGGTTCCTCATAGGAAGAATACTCTGCAGTTATAAAATGTGAAGGTTACAGTTATTTCCCACTATGCTTGCTAGATCATCAAAAGTATGAATACTTTGAAGAGAGTCATATAGAGAGGAATGGGAAAAAAATAAATACTGTGGGCAGGTAGGAGGAAAGTTCTAGAGAAATAGGAAAGAAGCTACTCATGAGCAATCCATCTCCACTGTCATTACTGAAGGACTTGGGGTCCCTCTCATGCCACTGGTTCCAGGAATGCAGCCATTTCTATATGCCCTCTCTCCTGCTCCCTCTCCCCCACCCAAGCATCCAATCTCCACAGTCTTCAGCACCACAAAAATTCATGGAGAAGAAAGAACTACAAACAAGGTAAACTGGTGAGTAAGATGAACATAGATGCATACATGTTGTTTTGTCAGGCTTTGGAAATACGTCTTGCTGGTTTCGTTCAGGCTGAATGTATTCTTCAAGTCTCATGCACTAACTTCAATCCATTCTGAGTCAAGGATTTCTTTGGTCTGGCTTTCTGGAAAGCATGTATTCTGTCTCAGTTAAAGCTGAATTTACCCTTCCTTGGCTGCCCCCCAAAACTCTTCCTGTCAGATTCCAACCGCTCTCAAAAATAACTCATATTTAAGTAGTATTTTGAATTTTGTAAAATGCTTCCTCATAACCATATTTCCATCCTCATTTTACTGGGTAGGAAACTGAAGTTCAGACAGTTTAAAGGGCATATACAGAGTCACACACCTTATAATTATCAGAGGCAGGATTTGAACCAATATTTCTCCTGACTAGGTTCAACATTTTTTTTCTTACCCATCTCATATGGTATGCATTCCTTCTCTGTTTTCTTCCTTATCTTTTCATGGAACTCAGATGTCTATGTCCTGGAATCCCTCACATCCTTTATGCCTCTCTTTCTATATTACCTTCTTAGAAAATCTTGAACCTCTTTCCCCAGGACTCCTAGACCCTGGATCTACCAATTTATCACCACCAGGATAAAACTACCCCAGCCACTATTCTTATTCTTAGAGGTGGGAGTTGTCTTTTTGAGGTCCCATTGTCTATGAGTCACATCACCTGGAGAGGAGGAGGAGAGGTCATGAGAGCCCTGAAACATCTGTACTTTCCTTTTACTCTTTAAAGGCTAATTTAAATGTACCCTCCTGCATGAAACCTTCCCTGATCCCCACTGGTACTAGCAACAAAATAATAGCTAACACTTATATTACATTTAGGTTTATAAAATGCTTTGCACATTGCCCTTCCAACAACCCTATGATGTAGGTGCTATTGTGATCCTAACTTTACAAATGAGAAAACTAAAGGACAGAGAGAGGTCAATATCTTCTCCAGTGCCACACAGCTTCAGACATTAGAGTACTTTATTCTGAAACTCCCTCATGTATTATATAATATTTTATATTTTAGTTGCCTGTATTTGGTTTTTATCTACATACTATACTGTAAGCTCTCCAGCCCTCAGACCATGTCTTTTTTTTCTTTTTCTTTTTTAAATTTATTTATTATTTTTAGTTTTCAACATTCATTTCCACAAGATTATGAGTTCCAAATTTTCTCCCCATCTCACCTTTCCTTCCACCCCAAGATGGCATGTATTCTAAATACCCCTTCCCATAATCTGTCCTCCAATCTATCACCCCCACTTCTGTTTCTCCTTCCCCTTCTATTTTCTTAGGGCAGGATAGATTTGTATACCTGATTGACTGTATATCTTACTTCGCAGTTTCTTGTAAAAACAATTTTTAACATTTGTTTTTAAAGTTTTGGGTTCCAAATTCTCCCTCTTTCCATCCACCCTCATTGAGATGGGAAGCAACTTGATACAACTTATGCATGTGTAGTCATGCAAAACACGTCCATGGTAGTCATGTTGTGATAGGACCATGTCTTAACTAAGATTTTTATCCCCCAGCCTAGGATCTAGTAGGAGTCACTTAAGTGATTTTTGAATGAATAAATTGATAGATGATTGAAAAAGGAGAAGATGTTGGGGATGAATCATAAAGGCTCAAGGACAGCACTTTGGGAAAGAGTTTCAGGAAATAAAAGTAGGGGTAGATAGCCCCTCTACAGCTTTACCTGCATAGGCTTCCTTTAGGATGTCTCCCAGGTTGCCTATGATACCTGACAGAGGTCTAATACCACTAACTTCTCAGTAGCTGGGGATAAATAAGGATTAATGTGAAAATTTACCTACTGTATAACTGACATGGAAAAAATGGGTTTATTATATTTGCTTTTGTTTTTTAACCAAGGGGAAATATTCCTGTCCCAAAGAGGGTCACTTTCTTGTCTAGACATAAAGTTAAATGAATTGACTTCTGGAGTCATGAGTTTACCCTCAGGCTGTGCTGTATTGCCACATATTAGTCCAAAAAACATTCTCATTTTCTTACAACAAAAATGAATTGAAATTCAATCACAGGAAAGACCAAGTAATAGAGTATCATTTTATTGACATCATGTCCCAACACAGAATACCAAAGGAAGGGATAGAAACATGGGTCAAGTCTCATTAACTGTTGGAAGCGATAGTTTCCTTAATCCAGTCCAGGTACTTGCAGACTTTGGTGTAGACACCAGGTTTGTCCTTTTGGGCACAGCCATCGCCCCAGGAGACAATACCCTGGAGCTCTCCATTACACACCACTGGGCCACCAGAATCACCCTGGGGGTGGAGAACATGGATGAGTGAGGAGAGGGAAAGGAAGAGCCTGCAGCCCCCATTTTAGTCTGAAGGTTGGGGTCATAGACTCAGGCTTGGAAGAGATCTAGGAGGTCATCCAGCCCAATCCCTGACTCTATGGTCATCTAGACTTTCTACAACATCACCTTCCATTGCCCATTCCTGTCCCTCCAGATCTTCATGACTATTCCCATTCAGTTCCCCTTCAATTCATCTGTAGATGTTCGAGTAAGTACTGGTAAGGACATATACTTTTTCATTTCTTTTCAGAAACCTTGATGTTTCTCCAAACCTTGATCCCTATTGGGCTTAATGAAAGTGCTGTCTTCTTCTGCTTATAGAAAGGCAGGACCTTACCTGGCAGGAATCCTTGCCACCCTCTAGGAAGCCGGCACAGACCATGTTTTCAGTGATCAGACCAGGATAGGAGGACTTACATTGGGCATCAGACAGAATGGGAACATTCAAACACTGCAGAAGATCTGGGTAGTCAGCTGTGAAGAGAATGGGATTTGGAGGAGGATCAGAGCAGTTGTCACACTAAAGAAGGAAGCACAGCCTACCTAACAAAGTGCTAAATCCTAAAATCAGAGTTGGGTGAAAGGGTCTTGGGAACTTTAGTACAGAAAAGAGAAAATAGTTTATATCTCTCCTTCTTATGAACTCCTATAATTTCCAGATATTTCTCATAGTACATCTCATACTTCTCTGTATGACGGTCATTTGTGTCATTGTTTCATCCCTTCTACTTGGCTATAGAAAGGCAGTTATGCATAATGGTTAGAGAACTGACCTTGGAACCAGGAAGATCTTCATTTAAATATTGTTTCTGACACATAAAGACTATGTGACATGGGGCATGTAACCTAATCTCTTAGTTTTGCAGGCAATTCTAAAGCTAAAATTGCAGAGAAGGAGCTGCTCTGCAGTGGTATAGAGTATGTAGATATAATACAATATAATATTATATATATATATATATATATATATGTATGTATGAGAGAGAGAGAAAAATCACTGATCCAGGCTCTATCTTTATCTCTACTTGATTATATCCTCATTCAGGGAAGACCTCAGTTTATTAATGTCCACATGTTTTTCACAGCACATAGCACAGAACCTTGTACATAATAGTCACCTGAAAATGTTTAACAAATGAATCTTAGTATGAAGCCAAATTACGAGCTGTGACATGATGCTCCTTTCCTTACCCTCACTGGAAATAGCCTGTTATTATTATAATGTATTCAAAGAATTCACAATTTTGATGAATTTAACATGTGCCTGTAGATAGAGACTTGGATTTATTCTATATTGGTTGTTGTGAGGATCCAAGAAGTATTTATTTCTATACTGAGTTTCCTGAGATCAGGAAGGGGGAGAAAAGGTAGGGTCATACCATAGAGAATATGAAGAAGTGAGAAGTTGACCTATGGTCAGGGGCATTGATATAACTCTAAGGTATGGGATAGGGCAAAGCTACTCACCACCATCGATAGCTGTGTTGCCCCAACCAGAGACAAGACATTCAATGCCTGCAGTTGGGCAGGACTTGGGCAGCAAAATGGGAGCCACATAACTGTTGATGACAGCTGGGGTTTTCAGCTTGATCAGCATGATGTCATTATCCGCATTTTTACTGTTGTAGTTTGGGTGGCGGATAGTCTTGCTTGCATAGATAAACTGCTCATGTCCCTCAGAGACTTCTATGTTATGCTCTCCCAGTCTCACCTGAAGTAAGCTGACGAAGACAATTATCTTTGATTCAGGATGTGACCACAAAGGGTACTCTCTTCTAAGAACTGGGTAGAAATCCTACCTAGGATTCTGTATCATATGAAATATAATAGAAATAATGTATTTTGTCAAATTGTGTATGTTTTGTGTGTGTGTGTGTGTCCAGTAGCATTGACTATAATCCTGCTCTATGTATGGGTGTGGTTGTTGCAAAAACCTGCCCATTTCTTGATACAGTGATAGGGTGGTATACTGAAATAAAACATTATTCCTAAACATTTCAAAACTGTGCATTCTTCCTAACTTTTTTGCACTTTTGCTATTCTACATCAGTCATTTTAAGCCATGTAACACCAAGCTTAATCTATGAATTATCCTATTTTCACTCAACCTTAACTTTGCTCCTTATTATCTAAGTCTGAAGTGTGTACAATGAGTTTAATGTCTCTGAATTTCTGTTCTTCAACCAAACTTGTGTCAATAGTCCTCCATGGGACCTCCAAAAGGTACCACAGGCTAGCTCACTGTGGAACCCACCCTGGGGGCAGCATGAGTCCTATCACTTACAATATGTTGCAATGAGCAGCTGACACCACCCATTGGTCACTGATGAGGGAGCCACCACAGATATGTTGTCCAAAAAAATTCAGGGACACTTGGTAGGGGAGGCTGTTCGCTTCACAGGTGTAGCCCCCAATGATCTTATCATCATCATCAAAGGAGAAAGCAACTTGGGGAGAAAATTTGGAGAAGAGGATTTAGCAACATGTCAAGTCTGAGCCCTAGAGGTGATTTCAAGAATTTACCTTCTACAAAGTTGCTTCAAAGTCTGGGGATCATTGATATTATGACAATGGTTCACACAATTAGTAGCTCTGTCACCTTTTCTATGTTTATACATGTGTCTCTCTGTTTCAATTTCTCTGTGTGTCTTTGTTTCTTTCTCTGTTTTCCTGTGTCTCAGTCTTTCTGTGTCTTTCTGTCTTTCTGACTGCCTTCATTCTCTGTCTTGCTCTCACCTGATTTCTTCAAGATTTAAGCATTGGGCAATCAAAGAGGAGTCCGAGAATCATATATAAGTATAAGAATGACATGTAATAAATGCTACTCCACTTATTCATGTTGTTTTAAGAACTCTTTTAAGCTCCACCTATCCATGTTCTTTTAAGTCCCATCTAGATGACAGGGTCCTCTACCCTCTTGGACATTCTTCTGCCCTCCATTTTTCCTTCTGTCCCTTCATGTCGTATCAGCCTCTTACAGGCTCTCCCCAAGCAGCATCCTGCATTGGGCTCTACCTTATTTTACACAGGCTCTCCTCCATTCTATGTCCCTAGGTGAAAAACAGGGAAGAATATTCTTATTTTCACAAGCAGTAGAATCAATCAACAATCATTAATTAAGTACTTACTCTTGTTAGATCTGGAGGATCCAAAGATAAAAATTAAATATTTCCTTCCCTTGAGGAACTTCCATTTCATTTCTTTGAATGTGATCCTGTCCCTTCTCTTCTTGTGTCCCTTCCTATTCAGATTAATCTCCTCATTCATTGGTTCTTTCTTATCTTGGACCCATTGATTTTTTCCATTTGCTTTTCTTTCCTTCCCTCCTAATTTGTTCCCCTAGAAGTTTCATTTGCACAATTTCCCACTGCATCACTGAATGCAGAGGTTTGATTAAGAGAAGATGCTATAGCTGTGCATATTGGGGACTGAGAGAAGTGAACAAAGTGAAGGGAGACTTGGAATGGGAGAGTAGAAGAGGTTGGCAGGTGAAGAGAGAGTGGGGAAGAACAATGACAGAAGAAGACAGAAGGATGGATTGAGAGATTGGCCAGAATGCTCTACAGGCCACAGGCAGTAAGGGTTCTGAGGTGATTAGGAGGGCTCACCAGCTGCTCCAACAAAAGCCAGGATCAGAAGAGGGTTCATGTTGGCAGGGTTTGCTTGACTTTTAGAAGGAGGCCGTTACCTTTTTATATCCTTGCAGGGAGTAGAGAGTGTTTGCAAAGCACAAGGCCACCTATTTCCTCTCCCTGCCCTCCCCACACACCTGTCACCTTTCCCTGTCCTACCATTTTATATCCATTCTCCTACTTTTAGCCTTTTTTGTAGATAAATAGCTTTTAAATGATAAGGGAATTACCATGGGAATTCCAAATAATTGTTGCTTGTGAGAATTAACTGAAATGGAAAGAATGGGAGCTTCTATACAAGGGAAGTGAGGGTTTTTCTGCTGGTCTACATTCTGTCAGGATAAATTTGTAGTGATGGGGATATTTGGAGGAAGGGGGAGGAGAAGGATGAAGAAGAGAAGGAGGAGCAAGAAGAGAGAACACCAATGTCTTGAGTCTCTGCACTCTATAAGCCTAACATCTTAGTATTAAATGGATTTGGGGGACATTACTGACTCTATCTGAACAAATCAAATAGGAAGAGGGGGATTGGTTTAGTAATAAATCCCTTTACTCAGTGTTCCTGGAAGTTCTATCAGTCACTCTGCTTATGTTTCTACCCCTAAAGAGAAGGGATATTCTCCCAGAACAAAAGCCAAATCTTCAGGAAATAAGAACCAAAGTTGAATAGAGTTTAGAAATTATTACCAGGCCAGCTTAGGAATCTCATCCTGTGACTTCCAACTTTGTGTATCTGAGGGTGAGTGACATGGAATAACAATCTTGAATAATTTTGACCACCTTTTTGTAAAAGTAATTAAGATTGGGAAAGATAGGAAAAATTGTCAAGGAATTGAAATTCAGCATAAGTTGGAAGATAGAAAAGCAGTGCCTAGCCGCCATTTCTGAAGTCAGGTCACCAGCACTGCATGAATTGCATGATATGATCTTGAAAGAACATGCAACAACTGTTGTTGAGTTATTCTCAGTGATATTTGGAAAAGTACAACAAATGGAAGGGCATGGGAGATAAACAAAAATTGTTATTGTTTTCAAAAAAGGGCAGAAGCTTTGACTTGAGAAATGTAATATCTAGAAAATTCTAGAAGGCACTGTTAAAAGAATGATTTTTGGAAGTAGCAATCACATTCAGCCAGCATAGTTTTCTCTCAAAATATACACGAGTAATCTGATCTCTTTCTTAAAGTTTTTTTTTTTTTACAGTTACTGGAATAATTATAAAAAAACCGTTTGTGACTGTGGATTTTAACAAAGTATTTGACAATGTCTTTCAAGCATTTATGTACCATCAGATGAATAAAATGAAAGTAGGTGGACTAGATGATAGTTTGGTTAGGTGGCTTAAAACTAGATAAGGATCAAACTGAGACAAGTTTTTTAAAGGAGCATACTGGGGCTCTATTACATTAGCCCTAATCGATTTTTTTCAATGACCTGAATGAAAACATATGTAATCTATATTCCAGTATCCTTTGCTCTGGGTCAGTCTTAGAGGCATCTCTTAAGATATCCTTGCAACCTCAGAATATTGTCTCCTTTAAACCTGCCACTCTCCATCAGGATCTTTCCTAGGAATATCAGAATGTATCTTATATGTGGGTCTCTGCAGATGTGTATTCTTCAGTTTCTTTTCAGAAAGAGGCACTATGCAACTCTCAAGTTAACAATACATATTGCACATAAAACATACAACTTTATTTCACCCTACAGAAAATACAAAACATACTTAGGACTCACAGAAACCCGTAACCATTCAAGTCAACTCTCTTTTCCTCCTCTGAGCCTCAGCTCTCCAGTGAAGATGTATAGAATGCTCCATATTTATAGTGCCATTCTGTAGTTGAGACTTTATCTGATGGAAAATAGACTTGGATTCCTAGAATGTCAAACCTCTTTCCATTGGAGAAGCACAAACCAATTAACTTGCAGTAATTGTATAGCAAAAGGTCCATGTTGCCAGTCCATGTCATGACTGGCTTTTCTTGCTATCCCTCTCTCTGCAAAGGTTATTTCATTTCCATACTTCTCTCCAAGAATGTCGCTTTTGGAATTCAAATCAATTATTTCCTCTTCCCTTTGGGAAGCTTTCTTTAGGAATTTGTATTGCTCTGGCATTGCCTTTGGGAAGCTTTCTTTGGGAATTTGTATTGCTCTGGCATTGCCTCAGGTTGTTGCCATCTCCAATATTGCTGAATAGGGGTGAAGCTCCACACTGGGGCTGTCCATCAGAAAGATCCCATCTTTGGGACCTACCAGCAGAAAGAACCTATAGTTTCCATAGCAACTCGATAGCAGGGTCCCACCACTGGGGTAAACAAAAAACTAGATCCTTACCCCAGGCCAGCCACCAAAAAGACTCTGTTACAATAGCCACCCATCAGAAAAGCCCCACCACTAAACCCCACACCAGGGGAGGCCAACAGGTAGGCCAGTATAAGCCAGAACTTAACCAACCCCCACCCCAGTAAAAGTAAGCAACTAAACCCTGAAGCCCAGTGAAAGCCAGCAGTAAGGCCATAAGCCCCAACACCAAAAGCTTGGGACAGTGCAGGACCAGAGTCCAACTCTCACAGAAAAATCTCCAAGTCACAAAAGTCAGGAAAAACAATGGGCAAAAAACAAACAAAAAAAACCTTCAATATAGAAAGTTCCTTTGGCAACAGGGAAGATCATGGTATAAACGTAGAAGAGGACAATAGTGTCAAAATAGCTACGTGGAAAGCCTCAACGAAAAATATAACTTGTTATCAGGCCCAAAAAGTATTCCTGGAAAAAGTTTTTAAAAGATTTTAAAAAGCAAATTAGAGGAGAAAAAGAAAACTTAAGAAAAGAAATGAGAGAATAAGAGAATCATGAAAAAAGAGTCTAATAGCATGGAAAAGAAGTACAAAAATTTACTGAGGAAAATAACTCCCTAAAAATAGAATTGGCTAAGTGGAAAAGAAAGTACAAATGCTCACTGAAGAAAATCATTCCTTAAAAATTAGAATTGAGGAAGTGGAAGCTAATACCACCGTGAGACATCAAGATATGATATAACAACAAAAAAAGTTAAAAAATAGAAGAAAATGTGAAATTTCTCATGAGAAAAATAACTGACCTAGAAAAGAAATCTATGAGAGATAATATAAGAATTATTGTACCACCTGAGAGGATAAAAAAAATAGCCTGGACAACTTCATTGAAGAAATTTTTAAAGAAAATTGCCTAGATATATTAGAATCAGAGGACAAAATGGAAATTGAAGGAATCTGCCCATCACAACCTGAAAGAGATCCCAAAATGAAAACTCTCAGGACCATCATAGTCACCGAGGAAGTACTGCAAGCCACTAAAAAGAAACAATTCAGATATTGTGGAGCTACAGTCAGGATTACAAAGGATTTGGCAGCTTCCACATTAAAGAACCAGAGAGCTTGGAATATGATATACCAGAAGGCAAAGGAGTTAGGATTACAATCTAGAATCACCTACCCAGCCAAAGTGAACATGATCTTTCAGGGGAAAAGATGGACATTTAATGAAGGAGAGGACTTTTAAGCATTCCTAATTAAAAGACCAGAGCTAAATTTAAAAAAAAAAATGACTTCCAAATCAAGACTTAAAGGGAACACAAAAAGGTAAAAAAGAAATAAATAAGTGAAAATATAAGAAATTCAATAAGGTTAAACTGTTCATATTTCTATGTGGCAAGATAATATTTGTAACTCAAGAACTTTATTATTCTAAGAGCAATTAGAAGAAATATATATATGTAGACACAGGGTGTGGATATAAGATGAGTTTGATGTGATAGTAGCCCAAAAGCCAAAATAAAGGGGTGAGAAAGAAAATTGCACTGGAAGAATAATGAGGGAGGAGATTCAATGGGGTAAATTGTCCCACATAAAAGAGCCCTTATAATTGAGGGGAAAATGGGACAGTGGTGTGGCAGGACAAGCTTAAATCTTGCTTTCATCAAAGTTGGCTCAAAAAAGGAATAACATATGCACTCAGTTGGATACACAAATCTGTCTTAGGTATAAGGAAGTAAAAAGGGATCAGGATACTAGAAGGAGGAGGGAGGGATTAATAAAAGGGAGTGTATATAGGGAAAGGCAGTGATCAAAAATAAAAATCTTTAATAAAAATTTCCAAAAAGGAAATGAGGTTAGTCTAGAGTACCTTATTCTTAGTGGACACTTCACAACTTACAGTAATCATTGTTTTGTTTCTAAGGCAAGCAAATAATTTAATTATATGTTTTAAAATTTTGCCAAGAGTGGAATTCAAGTTAGCTGTTCTATTATTTGAAAAATTGATTTTCAGCTTTATAAATATTGGATAACCTTTGCCCATATTTAGTCCTATGATACCTTTCCTATTCTTCATTATTTATTTATTTTGTGTTTATTTATATTTTATTTTATTTTAAAAATCATTACCATTGATTTAGCAGTCACATTTACTATTTTTTAAAATGATATCCAGACCTTGTGGCTTAAATTCATTTGAGGTATCTGGTGCTCATTTACTAACCCCTGACTTGTCTTGGATTAAATTCACTTTTCCATCTGCAGATTATTCTCCTTTATAGAGAAAATGTAAATAAAATAGGAACTGGGTAGCTCTGTCTTCTTTTCTTTGACCACTGTAATCCCTTCTTTCTTCTCCCATTTTAATCCAACATTGGTTAAATTGCATATGTGTATACACACACACTCACACACACACACACACACACACACACACAACCCTTCTACACCCAGCTTGGCCTCAGTTCATTCTGGGCTTTAGTTCTCCTGATAACACTCAGATAGAAATGAGTGATTCTTCTCTCTTTGTCCTCATTGACCTTCCATAGTATCTTCTATATATGTAATTTTAAAATGTAAATTGGAAAGTAAATTCCTTTTATATCTTTTAGTCTCATTAGACAACCTCCCCTTTTCTTAGTCAGCAGATTTATGTTTTGGCAGAGGCTAGTAGGTGGGTTCTGAGCCTTGAATGACATGTCCTAGACAAAAGAATTTAAGA